CCAGAGATCATCGGTCAGTGCGACCAAAGCGGTTTCGGTGCAGTAACCAGGCTTGAAACCAGATTGAAAGGGATCTAGAGTCATAAGTCAAGGACTTATGACTGGTCGCAACTCCAGTTCTTATGAACCAGGAAGAGGACTTCCGAGGATTTTTCACCGGTCGTAAGTTGATAACTTTTGCCCGGTTGTAAGTTGAGAACTACCCGTACTCATAGCCGTAGGAACATCCAAAAGTCATTAGCCAACCAGTCATAAGTCGAGGACTTCCTGTATTCAGATAGAGCCAAGAGAATATTCCGTAGTCTCTAAGCGACTGGTCATAACTTGAGGATTTCCTGTATCCCACACCTGAATCTTACCTCCCCCCCGCCCCGATTTCCAACGTGGGAAAATCACGTGACTCCGTCCATTGTCCCCCCTCCCCCAGAGGCTGCTCCGATGTCCCATCCGGCCTGCTTCCCCTTCCAGAAGACACGATGGGTTTCGGACAATATTTTGGCGCTCCGAAAGAATCCCACAGTACATTCTGATCCCCACGTTGTGTTGACGTGTTCGAGTTCCAGGCTCCACCGTGTGAATTACCCTCCACCCCCCCTCCCAGTCCTCGGTTGCCAGGAAGGGATATTCTGCCCGGCAACCTCTCTTATTCTTGGCTGCTTTGGAAACTAATTACAGAAGGGATGTCTTCCTCTTCCTGCCTAATTGTTTCTAATTTGCATGATGCCCTGTTAATTTGCATGTGTGCCGCCTTCTGTTTCTTGTTTAAAAATGAATTTTCTGATCAAAAGTTTGGCAAAGAGCCTAACAGCTAACAGGAACTAATAAAAGGGGAAAGAGAGGAGGAGGTAGGAGGAAAGGAAGGAAGGAAGGAGGAGTAAGAAAAGGAGGAGGGATGGATCGAAGAAAGGGAAGGAATGAGGGAGGAAAGAAGGAAAAAGGATCGATGGATGGAAGAAAGAAAGGAAAGGAAGGAGGGAGGGAGGAAGAAAAGGAAGAAAGGAGAAAAGGAGGATGGATGGATGAAGGGGAAAGGTGGGAGTGACAGGAAGGAAGGGAAAAAAGGATGAATGGAAGAAAGGAAAGAGGAAGGAAGGAACAGTGAAAGAAGGATGGATGGAAGAGAAAGGAAAGACGAAGGAAGAAAAAAGGATGGATGGAAGGGAAAGAGGAAGAAAAGGAAGGAAGAAAAAAGGATTGGTGAGTGCATGGGTAGATGTATGAAGGGAAGGGAAAGGTGGGAGCAAGGCAGGAAGGAAGGAGAAAAAGGACGGATGGGTGGATAAGAAAGAAACAAAGACAGCAAAGAAAGGAAGGAAAAGAAGGAAGGAAGGAAGAGGGAAGGAAGGAACAAGAAAGGGAAAGAGTGCCTGTGGGAGGAAGAAAGAAAAAGAAGGAAGGAGAAAAAGAAAAACCAATGAAGGAAGGAGGGAGGGAGGAAGAAAGTAAGAGAAAGGAAAGAGGAAGGAAAGAAAAAAAGAAAAAATGAAGGGGGAGGAAAGAGGGAAAGTGAAAGGAGGAAAGGAAGAAGAGAAAGAAGCAAAAGTGGAGAAAGGAAAAATGGAACAGCTTTTGATTGCTTCTTCCCCATCTGTGATTACAAAAGAAAATCTTTTTGTTTTTTGCTTTGATCCATGTTTTCCCCTAATTGTCAAAACCACAAATAGCAAAGTTGGAGGGTACCTTGGAGGTCATCTAGCCCAACCCAATACTCACGAAGGACACCCCTTTCTCCCTCTCCTCCGCTAAAAAACAGAGTTGCAAAGGGACCTTGAGGTCATCTAGTCCAACCCGCTATTCACGAAGGAGACCCCTTTTTCCCTCTCCTCCTCTAAATAACAGAGTTGCAAGGGACCTTGGAGGTCATCTAGTCCAACTCCCTGCTCAAGTAGGAAGCCTTCTCCTCCTCCTCCTCCTCCTCCTCCTCCTCCTCCGTCATGGTTATAGCCTCCCAGGATTATGTGACCACCATTAGCGATCTTCCCTTCCAGCTCCCGACAACCAAACTCAAGAAGGGAAGCTGGATTCACTTAACGACTCTGCAAGTAGCTTAAGAACAGTGATTCACTTAACAACCATGGGGAAAACAGGTTGTCAAATGGAGCAGGACGGAATGAAGAAGCATCTTGCTTTGCAGTAGAAATTCTGGTTGCAAGTTGTGGTCGTAAATCTAACTTGGCGATGAAGATCCTGTCCTACCTTGTGGTCGTAAATCCGAGGAGCAGCAAAATTGAAAGCAGGAAACAATAGAATGGCGTCCTGTCCTCTCTCTGTCAGCTTCTTCTCTCCATGAATTTTGCCTTTAATGGAAGGTCTGCTGGAGCAGGGGGGTTAGACTGGATGACCTCCGAGGTCCCTTCCAGAATCGCTCCGAGGATTCTATAAATCTCTTATTCCCCCCCTCCTTTTCTAATCTTGGTTTGTGCTCACAGGCAAAGAAAGGCGGCTTGTTGCAAACTCAGGTTTGTTCTTTTCCAGGTCCTTTTGGAACAGACGAATTTTCTGGATCACCGTCGCTAGGATTCACTCATCCGACGGCCACTGGTTTGGAACTCCTGTCGTTTCTCGACCCGGCGCCAAATCAGAGCCAAGCAGGTAAACCCAGGACTGAAAAGGGAGGCGGGAAAAAATAAGGACGTACAATGGGAATACAAGCAGTCTTCGACTTACGCCCACAAGCGAAGCCAGACAAAATGTCAGCCAGGCAGTGGCTTTTGGCACCTGTCGTTAAGCAAATCACAGCCATGGCTAAATGAATCGTGCGGTCGTGACATGAATGCAGCATCCCCGGATTGTCAGAAGGCCGCCAAAGGCTCCTTTGATGATTCTTCCTGCCACAGTTGTTAAGTGAATCACCACATTTGTTGAGTTAGTAACAGAGTCGTTAAGTGAAGCGGGCTTCCCCATTGACTCTGCTTGTCCGAAGGTCGCCAATAGGGGAATCACATGAACCCCCGTCATACATATGAGTCAGATGCCAATGAATTTCGATCACGTGGCCACAGAGGTTCTGACGGCCGTTAAGTGTGACAAGGTAATTCAACGCAGGGAAGCCAGATTCACTTAACGACCACACGATTCGCTTAACAGCGCCAATCCGCTTAACAACTGTGGGCAAAACGGCTCGCCTAAAGGGGCCTAATGGGATGAACTGCCAACTCGGCTTGCAGTGTGAATTACCTTCTCCCTTGCGGTCGTATGTCTGGCTTAGCGATGGGGAATGCAGTTGTAACCTGAGGACTAGCCGCAACGGTGTCCCACAGATTTGAATCTGGGGTGAGGCCCTCTCCTCGTTCTGCCATCATCTTATCTCCATCAACTTTGCCTTCAAAGAAAGGTGGTCTCGTCTTTTTGCAGGGGGTTTGGCCCCGTCATAGCGTGGAATGGTCACTAAGGCAGTGGCCATAACATGAGGACCATTTTCCCAGGTGTCCTCTCTCTTGCGTCCTGTCCAAGACTGGTGTCCTTCTCCTCAACCGTCATCCTCCTTTCCTGACTCCTACCACCCCCCAAATAAGAGTTGTGGAGGACATCAAGAGATGGGTTGACCTTCAATGGTCCGCAGGTCTTGGCCTGGTCCTTCAAAACCCCCTTGAGATGTTGGGTTCTCTGGAGAATATTGGTAGGAACCTCGTGTCCCACCAGGTTTCATGGAAGACCAAGCTGGGGGCCAGTGGACCAACCTGGTCAAGGTCCCTCATGGGTCTTCTGAGGTGGAAACATCTCACCTCTTGTCTTCTTCACAGAGGTCCACCAGGTCTCCATGGAGGAGCTCAACCCCCCTGAAAATGATTCCTACTCCACAGCGTATAGCCTTCCAGAGGTGGAACAGAGTATGACCTCAACAGGTGAGGGAAGAAGGCTTCCCCCAGTTTCCCCATCCTTCCACCCGTCTTCTGGGTTGGGTATCTTTGGGTGGAGAAGATGGTGGAGAAGAGAAGGAGTTGGGGTGTCCTACCACAACGTCCTGTATGTGAAGGGTTTTGTGTACGTGGTGTGATGCTGCGTCCTTGGGCCGAGGAAGCATCTTGGGGCTTGGCCCATGCAACTCATTGGCTCCACTGAGTAGAAGACATGAGAGGCACCCATCAACTTCTCCTCTTTCTACCCTCTTTTCCATCATCTCTATCCATCTCTTTTTTCTCCTTCTCCTCCTTCTCATCTTCTCCATCCATCCATCCATCCATCCATCCATCCTTTTTCTCCTTCTCCCTTTGACCTTCTCCATCCATCTTCTTCATCTTTTCCACCCTTCCTTCTTTTTCTCCTTTTTCTCCATCTCCTTCTTCTTCCCTTAACTTTCTCCATCCATGTTCTTCATCTTCTCCATCCATCCATCACCCATCCATCCATCCATCCATCTTCTTTTTCTCCATCTCCCTTTCAGCTTCTCCATCCATCGCCTTTTTCTCCTCCTTCTCATCTTCTCCATCCATCCATCCTTTTTCTCCATCTCCCTTTGAGCGCCTTCATCCATCTCCTCCTTTTTCCTTCTTCTCCCTACATCTCCTCCTGTTCAATCCTCTTCCTCGTCCTTCCTCTCTTCCTTCGAAGACAGACAGCCATCTCTGTCCTTCAAAGCAATGGATTTTTGGAGGATCTGTTGACCATTTTGGGGTGTTTTTTTGGCTTGGGAGGCCACCAGGATAGAACCATCTTACCATGATGTCTTCCTGCTAAATATCTAAAATCCATAGGGTTATCAGTGCATGTAACACAGATGTTTGTGTGGGTAAGATTATCACTCCTGCTGTCAAGCAAAACTAAGCATTTAATAGTGAGCGCCAGACCATGTGCATGAATCATACAAGGGGCAAGAAAATGAAGAGGGAGTCAAACTATTCTCCAAGGCACCTGAAGGTAGAACAAGAAGCAATGGGTGGAAACTAATCAAGGAGAGAA